CTGTCCCTGACTACATACGTAATTGCTTGAATTTGGGACAGAGAAAAAGAGAAATAAAATGATACTTGTGTAAAACAAATTTTTCAATTAAAAAATGCTTTATATTAAGTAAAATCAATTTTATTTCTCCTTTTTCGCTTTGAAAGGTATTACAAACTTCAAGAAGTGATATTCCTTTATTTGATTGTTTTGGTAAAATATATTCTAAAAATTTAGATATGAATTATAAAAAAATATATTAATAATACTTGATATTGGGGCTTATTTAAGATATTCCTTTATTTGATTGTTTTGGTAAAATATGTTGTAAAAATTTAGATATGAATTATAAAAAAATATATTAATACTTTGAATAAATTTGCAGGAAATTAATAATTAGATCGATCTGTGGGTGTTAGGTAGTGTTAACCATCACCCAGTATTATATTAATCATAACTATAATATAATATAATCTTATAACCATTAACTCATAATGTAAAAATTTTTATAAAAAATATTAAGGGCCCGGATATATTTAAAAAAAATTTTTTAGGCTCGGCCCGGCCCGGATATGTTTAAAAAAATTTTTACGCCCGGCCCGGGTATATTTAAAAAATTTAAAATACGGCCCGGGCCGGGCTTAGGGCCGGGCCTGCAGGTCTCTGATATAAATATATCATTTAATAACCCATTAGTAAACAAAAAGGGCGCTATTTAAGAGTTAGTAAAAGTCATACTATTATTTTTGCCAACATGACAATCAAATTTATGACGTAACACAATATATTTTATATTCTAAAAATTATCAGAAAAAGACTTCATATATTGCATAACAAAATTATACCAATTGAAAAATTGGCTGACTATTTTTGAAGGCAATCGCGGAAAGCCTTTCAGCCTCAACTGATTAAAATTTTTAATATATTTCTAAAAACTTTATGGAATATTTGTATAAAAATAAATATAAATTTGATTTTCAAAAAATATCTAAAAGTTGATGAAAATGTGTAAAGGTGAACTAGATTTATTTAACTCTCTCCTCAAATCTTCAAGGGAATTTGAATTTAAAAAACATTTTGATTTATTTAAAGTAGTGCAAATTGGTCAAAAATGGTATGAATTTATAAATCTGGGCCAAAATAAAAAATCTGGCTGGCCATTATCATTACTTAGCTTATAATAATATTTAATATCACAATGACTAGGTATCCAATTCATTTGTTTTATAAATATTGTTTTGTTTAATTTTCACCAAGCCTGGATTCGGGATAAGGTCATAACATTATATGTACATTATATTGATTAGGGTTAATTTATAATAATTTAAAAATTTGGTTAGGAATTTTGTTAGGGAAATTTTTATTTGGAAAAATTTTACAGGATTTTTTTTTTATTTTGTTGATTTTCTCAAAAATTTTAAATATTATATTTGGAGATTTTTTTTCCGGTGATTTTTTTTCCTATTTTGTTAATTTTCTAAAATAATTTTATATTTTATAGGATCAAAAAAAGGGGTAATTATTATCCGGGAAAATTTTTTTCGGGGAATTATTTTCTGTGGGAATTTTTTTTCCGGGGGATTACTTTCCAAGGGAATTATTTTTCCGGATAATTATTCTCCAGGGAATTTTTTTCCTAGATTCAATATTTATGAGGAATTTTCTTATTTTTTAAAAATAAACAGATATACGGGGATGCCTTAATGAAGGAAATTTATAGAAAGTTCTGTTAATAAAATCTAACAACCATTATTTACAAACATTTAATTATGAATTACAATTCAGCATTATATTTGATAAAATTCTTCTTTTGGGTGCTCTCTTATGATCGAAATTCGTCTTCCCTTTTTATCAGGTCTTGGGCTTGAGAACTAAAAGTGGTAAGAGTGGTAATGATAACTTGATAGAAATAATATTGATCAGATATATAGCTACTAAACCTATATTTAGATTTTGATTCCTGATTTTTGAATTCCAGCAAAGGTTTCTAGATTAGATTTCATTCATAGACCTTAACCAATGTTAAATGCAGAAATCGGAACGGTAGACAGATTGCAAGTTGGTGCAAAGATAATCAACTGTACCTACAATCATGGGCGCACCCAGTCTTTCTGCTTGGTAGAAGGGGGAAGAGATGTGTCAAATAGATTTGTGTTGCGATAAGCCTCATCTAGTAACTGTTCTGTTCTATATTTATTATTGTTATATAACAATAACGATGGTAAGAAAAACGGTTTTAGGTTATAATTATTTTATTCTAAAACTAAAAAATGATACTAAAAATAAATATAAAATAAGGTATATATATATATGTGTTATAAAATTTAAACGAAATATATATTTTAAGGCTATAATAACAATTTAAGTTAAATAAAAAAATCAATCAATCAACATTCCCCTTCTTCTGAAAAGCCTTCCCATAATCCATCTGAGCGCTCATAGAAAATATGTCGTTCAAATGGTAGTTCATTTTGATTGTTCAAGTCGTTCATAAGTCATTGTAGTCGTTGGCTTGATTCTATCACGTTGGTTTGTTAATATCGTTTTGAGTACGCTGGCTCGTCGTCAAGCTCCGTCGTTATCATTGTCAATTTTACAAAATTGTTATTATCACCAATTGTAAAATTATCATTATTAAATAGGATTTCAGAATATATGAATAATTAATGTTAGAATAATAAAAGGATGATAAATCAACAAGATTGTTAGATAAATTTTTAGCGTTTTTATTTTTTATATGATATTTTAGCGTTTTTATTTTTATTTTGCGTTTTAGTCTTTAATTTATTTTTTCATGTTTTAGTATTTAATTTATTTTTACATGTTTTAATATACTAAGTTATATAATCTTTTAGATAAACAGGTTTGTGTCTACTTCCTATCGGTCTAGGAGTCGGTATTACAATATTTTTATCATTAGTTTTAATATTTTTGTCCTCACTTCCGTCCTTCTTAGGAGAGTCATGGTATGCAAATGTGTCATAGCATTCTCTCTTTCTTAATTGGACCAGGTGTTTCCTTGTAATACCTTTTTCTGTATAGACTTGGAACATAGTGTCGCTTTCCTTCAAATAAACTGTCCCTTTGTCCCACGTGTCATTCCCTTGTACTTTATACCAAACAAAATCTCCTGTGTTGAAGGTTCTATTTCGTGGTAAAGTAACGTTTATTTTATTCTCCTTCTCCTCCAACGGTCTCAATAAGTCCCATTTCACTCTAATATCATGGTTGAACATCCTCTTAGACGGTGTAACTCCTGTAGTGTCATTACGCGTATTTCTGTAATTAAATAAAAATTTCTCAAGTGCAATGTCTAAGTCAATTTTGATATTCCTTTTCATATGTGTTTTGAACGTTCTTACCATGCGCTCTACCTGGCCATTGGATTGCTGATGATAAGCAGATGTGAGCACATGTTTAATACCATAATCACTGCAAAATTTTTCAAAATGACTAGTGTGAAGTTAGTGCCGTTATCGGTAACTATAGTTTCGGGTTTTCCATATAACGAAATAGTTTTAAAAATTTCTTTTAAAGTAACATCGGTCGTAATATTTTTAACAGGAACAATGATTGGAAACTTACTGTAAGCATCGACTATTGTCAACCAATTTCTTGTGAAGAACGGACCCACATAGTTTATGTGTATCCTTTCAAATGGCTTGGTTGCCGAAACCCAAGGTTTTTGTATTTTTTTAGGATTATCGTGATATATGTTACAATCGTCGCAACTTTTCACTTCCATATCTATATCATTATTTATACCAGACCACCACATGTGATCTTTGGCTAAGGATTTGATTCTTCCTGCTCCCAAGTGACCATCATGTAATGATTGTAGTACATTTTTTCTCATAGAAGACGGAATTATGATTTTGTTGCTTTTGTAAAGACAATCCTTAATTATACTTAATTCCAATTCAATGTTTTTATAGATATCATTCTTTATAGGCCTGTTGTTCTTAATATCATTTATGACTTGTTTTAATTCGATATCTTTCAAAGTTTCATCACGAATTTGATTGAAATTGATAGGTAAAACCCCATAGTCATTTATTATAGTGATATTTTCAACAACTTCGTCATGACATTCTTGTGGCAAAGAGGCACTCAGGAACAACATTGTAATTACCTGCTTTATACTTTATGTTGAAGTCGTAACCCCCTAAAGCGATATTCCACTTTTACAACCTTAAGGACATGGTACTATTGTCCTTGAGTCCCATAGTAAAAATGTGGACTAGTGGTTTATGGTCCGTGATGCTAGTATTTAGTCCCAATCAAATATTCATGAAATCTTTTAATTGTGAACATTATGGCAAGAGCCTCACGCTCAATATTGGTGTAATTTATTTCTGATTTTGCCAAGGTTCTAGACGCAAAAGCAATGGGTTTTTCTTTGCCATCTCTCTCTGTGTGTAATAGTACAGCCCCTAATCCAGATTTGGATGCATCAGTCGCAATCCCATTAGGCAATTCCGGATTAAAATACGTCAGTGCTGGCGGGAGACTAATCAGCTTCTTTAAATTATTAAAACTTCTGGAATGTTCTAAGTTCCATTCCCATCTTTCTTTGTTGACCATTTTGTATAACGGAGCAGCAATATCAGCGAAGTTATTCAAAAATTTTCTATAATAACCAGCCATTACAAGAAATATTGACAATTCAGCAGCTGATTTTGGTTCTAGCATTTTAATTATTGCTTCAATTTTATCATGGTTAGCATGAATCCCCTTGTCATCTATATCGTGACCCAGGAACCTAACTTTATTTTTTAAAAAGTTAGGTACTAACCCTTACGATAATATTAAAGACCTTTTTGATGTTATTTAAATGTGCTTCATAGTTATTTCCAGTTATTAATAAGTCATCAATATAAAATATGACATCTTTCATATCACCGAAAATCTGATCCATGATTTGTTGGAATATAGCAGATGAAGTTTTCAACCCAAAAGGAAGTCTGGTAAATTGGTAGTATCCCATATGTGTAGATATAGTCAAAAATTTTCTATTTTTATCAATCGGAACTTGTAGAAGCATTTTTGAAATCGATTTTGGTAAATTTTTTTCCTTCTGAAAGTTTAACTATAAAATCATTTATACGTGGAAGTGAGCATCTAAAGTCTTCGAGAGCTGGGTTTATAGTGTCTTTAATATCTGCGCAAAGCCTGATGCTCCCATCATCTTTGTATATGGCGGTTATAAGACTCGCCCATCGCACATCATTTACAGGCTCAATAATTTTTTCGTGTATCCATCTTTTCAGTTCTTCGCCCACAAGATCAATCTTTGAATACGGTATACGTCTTGGTGGTATTATTTTAGGTTGGGCGTCACATCTTAAATGTAATTTGACATTAATTTTGTTAATTGGTTCGCTAGTCAATTTGGATTCACAACCTTTAATAAGTTTATTGATTTCGTCTTTATAATTGGTATCGACATTTCCTATGAATTTATTTAAAATATTTTTAAAGGTATTGATCCAGATTCGACTCTACAACTACTGCTAGTAAATATTTAGTGATTCCTTCATAACTTACTTTAACCTGAGTTGTCCCGATGATTTTAATCAAGTTTCCGTCGTAGGCTGTAAGCCGCAAACTGGATTTCTTCATTTCTCTTATACCAATTTTTTTTAGCCATATCATGAGATATGATGGTATATTTTGATCCAGTGTCGACCTGCATAGTAGCAGTAAAATTATTTAATTTCAAAGTAGTCATAAAAGCACTGTCATCACCTTTGTCTGTATTTTCAGCCAGGTTGTTGACATTGAAATCATTCTCATTATTATCTTTGGCAATGTCAACTTTATTTTCCCCAATTTCTTCAATGTTCATATTACAATTATTGCTATCGCAGAAGTTTTGATTATCATACTGGATTTGTTTTCTTTGATTAAAATCCTTACACCGATTACGATCGTCATATTCGATTTGTTTTCTTTGGTTAAAATCCTTCCGATTACGATCGTCATATTCGATTTGTTTTCTTTGGTTATTATTATTATGCCACCTGTTGTTTCCTTCATAACTTGAATTGTTGTTGTAAGATCGGTAATTATTATGATTTTGATCGTCACATTGAATCTGCCTCCTCTGATTATAATTAAACCAGGCGTTGTTTCTACCATAGTTGTTGTTATAAGATTGATGATTATTATTATGAAAGTTTCTGTTGCTGTTGTTATACCGATAACTGTAATTTTGATAGTTACTATTATTATGTTATTGTTTCTAACGTTACTAAAATTCCTATTCCTGTTGTCGTTAACATTACTAAAATTGTTATCACCATGATTTCTATTCCTACTGTCAAAATTTTGCCTCGAATAATAATTAGGTCTATTATAGTTACTATTAATCTCATTCCTATTAGAAATACTTTGGATATCTAAATTCTTATCATTATTTCTATTATTGTCATTATTTTTATTAAATTTTTTATCCCTACTAAAAACATAATTAACCCTTCAATACTCCGGTGAAAAAAATGACGTTAGTACTCCGGTGGGGTTTAATAGACCCCAATTTCAAATGTATATATGTCCAGTTATATTCATGATAAAATATTTATTTATTTTTATTTCTTAAGTTTAGATTAAAGATGGTGAGGATAATTATAATTTGTGCCAATATTTTCTAAAAAAAAGCTTACTTTTTTTAAATTGGAAATTAAAAATTCAAAAAATAACTTATCCATCATATAATCCTGATAATTCATAACATGGATCTTTATTCTTCAATATTAAAAAAATTACACTGATAAATTCAAATATAAAAAAAATATTGAACATTGAAATATGTTAAATTTGACAATCAAAACATTTGTTACATAAAATATTAATGTGTTCTAAACATAAATTTATTTTGCATATTTGACAAAAACATTTATATCTAATGTGTGTTGCTTTGTCTACCACATTTCTCTCTTCTCTTGTTAATATGTCATCAAATCTCATTGCATGAATTAGAAATCTGAATCTTTTAAGAGGCATTGTTACTCTAAATATATCAATTCCAAACCCATCAGATTTCCATAAATCAGACATATTTTGATGGTTAGATTTAAAAATTCCAGCTAAATAAAGAATTCCCAATAATGCTTTGAATTCAGTTATATCAACTTCTTTTGTAAAACTTTCATATTGATTATAATTTTGACTTACAACTTTTTCCATTAAGTAACCTTATTTTTAGCTAATTTTAAAGAGAAATATACTATGATAAATGATTTTATATTTACCTAAATAATACTTAAGCTTATTATCTGTTTCAGCTAATATATCTTCTTCTTCATCTAATTCAGATTGTGTATCATGATCACTATCATACATAAAATCTTCATCCTCACTATTAATTATATTATCCAAATCACCTCAAAAAAATATTACATTTATATAGTTTATATTTACTTTCAGAATCTGCAAAAATCATAGTAGATGATAGAAATAATTTAAAAAATGAGTTTGTTGGAGAAAATAAACATAAAATAACTCCACCAGAAAAAATATTTGTGTCTTCAATTTCATATATCTCATTCAAAATATGCTATATTCAAATTTCGTTTTAATAAATTTTATAATATAGTGGTATATATTTATAATTATAAAAGTTTTAAAAAAAAAATTAAAAAAAAAATTACGAATTTACTCCGGTGGGGTCTCACAAACCCCAAGCAGTCACAAAATGCTTATATATTAAAAACTACTCAACCAAAATATGTGAAATTTGGAATATAGATTCTAAGATATATTTGATGAAGCTACTGAAGAATCCAAATCATGATAATTAACCGTTTTTATGCAATATCATTTCCAGCATGCCTGGGGTTTCCTACACCCCACCGGAGTATTGAAGGGTTAACATTGTCACTTTCTGATTTAATGTAAATACTATCTAATTTTCTTCCTATTTCAATCATTTCATCTAATGTGTAGTTAATATTTTTATTTAATTTATTTTTTATATTGTCATTTACACTAGATGTTCTCAATTTTTCTTTAATGCGATCGTCATTAACAAAATTACATTGTCTACATAATTTAGACAATCTAAAAAACCAATCCAAAAAAGATTCATTAATACATTGTGAAGCAAGATTAAACTTCCCAGTCAATATCCAAACATCTGGATGTGTAATAAAAATTTTAATTTTTTAATAATAATTTTATAATCTTTGATATCTTCCTTTCTACATAATGACTTAATTTTATCGTATAGGTCATCAGATAAATTGCTCATCAATGTTTCAATTTTTACTGAGTCGGATAAAATTGTTTGAGAGAAATAATCGTCAAGTCTTTCCAAGTATATGTCCGTTAAGGGTCACTCCAACTTTGGGAACTTAACTTCCCTTTTGGAGGATATGCTAATTTTATCATCCATAATGCAGATTTTTATTTTAAAAACATATTTAAATTAGCAAAGATACATATTGTCACTATTATGTATTTAATTTTTTTTTTATCCAAATTGCAAATTTTTATTTTAAAACTTTATTTACATTAGCTGTGTGTGAATAATTTTTATAATTTATTACATAATTCCAAAAATTTTTTTATTTTTTTATATTTATCGGGATATGCACAATATATATGAGATATTTTTATATATCATTGTGAGTTATCATTCCAGGGCACCATGTTATATAACAATAACGATGGTAAGAAAAACGGTTTTAAGTTATAATTATTTTATTCTAAAACTAAGAAATGATACTAAAAATAAATATAAAATAAGGTGTATATATATATATGTATTATAAAAAAACAATTTAAACCAAATATATATTTTAAGGCTATAATAACAATTTATTAAATAAAAAAATCAATCAATCAACATATTTAAATCTAACAATTATTATTATAATATTTAATTAGATATTTTCTATATAAATGAGACATCAACTTATAATTTTTTTGCCTCACTTCTAAATATGAATTTTACCTATAGAATCCCTTTATTAAGCATTAAGTACACCTTATATAATTATAAAAAAATAATAATTTTGAGAAAATTGTATCTAGATACTTTGAAAACTATTTTAAGCAATCTGTTTGCTATTAATAGCGTTACTCTCTCAAAAGATTAGATAATGGCGTTATAGATTTTTTTTATCAAAATTGTTTTAAGAAATAACGAATAAGAGTAACGCTTTACTTTTTAGGTTACTATGATAATCAGGTTTAGCACCATGTTTTATTTAAGTATATATTGCCTGCTCCACTGCTTACTATATTATACACCCTTGATTATATAAAAATACTTGTTTTGTAATTTTTATCTAGCACTTTTTAGGAGAACCTGGCCTATTTAACACAGCTGATCCTTCAACATTCAAAATTTCAAAAAATAAATTTATCGATTAACCTTGAAGTCAAAAGTAAAAATATAAATATTATATTATTTATATTAGACATTATTTTTTTTATATTTTTTTGTCCGATAAACTCGACTATAATTTTACTAAAAATATTAATATTTATTTTATTTTGATATCAAGCAATATGTCACCAGGTACTTTTTGAACATTTCAGATTTTTTTATTCTGAATAAATTAAATTATAAATTTACATTATACTAATTATCTAATTTTCTGTAGCGTCTTAATTATTACGACATACTTATTTATTTACATAATAAATGCTTTTAAATATTAAATTTTTTATTTGAAAGTTTAGGGAGTATCTTTTCTTATAACATTTTTTTCACCTTAGGAAGAATTGGCAACTAATATATTTTTAAAAATGTATTTTAATCTAAAATCTTTATAAAATGTGTTTTTTTTTATCACAAACAAAGATTATATGATTTAAAATTATATAATTTCACTTAGAGCCATATTATGATTAGATTAGATTATTACTCATAAGTTTCCTTTCAATAAATAAAATATAAATAAATATTTTAAAAATCGATATCAAAATGTATTTCTACTTGCCTGCTCGGTCATCAAAATAGATGATGGTAATTTTAGCATAATTTGTTTTTTTTATTAAAAGCCAATTTTTTTTTATCAAACCTTTCTAAATAGGTTTACTTTAACCTATGAAAATTTAAAAACAAATTATGTAGAAGGACTGAAAAGCCTAATAATTTGTAATGAACATAAACTGATACTAAGTGGACTCAAATTGCGATGCCATAGGTTGACTGACGATGGTTCAGGTGAATGGGAAAATTTAACGGCCTTTTTAATTTATGATTCGACTTATTTTGAACCAAAAATATAATTTTAGAAATAATAATACATTTCGTTCTAATCGGAAATAAATTTTATGAATCGTAGAAAAAGTTAAATATAAACTAGATTCATGCATCCAACCTCTTCTTATAAGTTCGGCCCGATCTAATAACTTTTTTTGCCCAAACTTTGATCCGCTCATATCTCTCGAAATAAATTGGTCCAATCAGACATAAAAATAGTTTCGTTTCCGATCCGAAAAATATAGGATGAGGGGGAAAAAATATCCTTTAAAAAAATTGGGATGATAAGGGCTAGAGGCATGTGATAAATTCTGGCTTTCTTAAAATCATGAAGAAAGCAAATTAATCTTTTTTCCGCTTCGATTTCGATTAAAGTCTGAAAATTTATATAGTCGGCTAAGCCCTAATAAAAATTTTAAAGCAAGCTTCGTCCCGATTGAATCTGAGAGAGAATATCATACTAACCGATTCAAGTTCCATCGCATCTGGAGGCCTATTAAACCTTTCTCTTGCTGCAAGTCTCACCATCTTAAGTTCCATTATGACCAAAAGTTTTGGAATCTACTGAAAATGTTTCAACCTATTTCGATAAAGATAAATTAGTCGGTCAATTTAGGAAAATTAAAATAAAGATGAAAGCAAATTTTATTTTTTAAAGTTATTAACTACAAAAGAGTGTTCGATCTCTCATAAGACGAATAAAATATAAATATTTAAGAAATTAATTGAACAATTTCATTTTTTATTAGTTCTTAATATGGCATGAGTACTATACTTGTGACATTCTAACCAATTATAAACATTTTTTTAGAGTCTTAACTCATATCTAAAAATCACAATTTTTTAAATATATATTCTCTATTAATCTGATTTTACTTCTTATGATTATCTTCCCGAAAAATTTTAAACGTCTTAATTTTTGTTTGCTACAAATATTCTATTACATTTTAATTTTTTAGAAATAACGATTTGTTATAATATTTTAATTTATAAAAATGCAAATAAAAGTCTTAAAAGAATTATAAAATGATAATTTTTTGATTTTAAATGTTGCCAAGAATATTTCCATTTCATTGTTATTATAAATAATTGTCTATTTGGCTCCACTTGATAACACGATTTTTATTTTGAAAAAATAAGGCTCCTATATTCTTCTAGAGGAGAAAAGAAGAGTTATTTTACGCTTTTGATAATTTACATCTTTATATTATTTTAAAAAAAATAGTCTATACTTTTTGATGTGTTATAAATTTTTGAACATGGTATTATCTATTTTTTTAAAAAAAAACCCAAAATTTTTGAGTTAGCATAAATGTATAACATCCAAAGCCCTTTATGAACCGAGCCGACCACACTTGAGTCGGTCATATTAGGACTATACTTTCGGACTTGGTCGGGTCGAAGCTTGATTTTAAAATTTTCGTATTTCACAACATTTAAAATTAATTTTGCCTTTCCTTAACCCTTAAAGTTTTTCCCTTTCGTAAAAACATCGTTTTTTCAACAGTTCAACAAAAATTATAATCGAACTCGGACCTATTCTAAAATCATAATTAAGATCGATCCAATTTAAGGCTCTTGATTCTATTGTATAAGATCGCTTATCATATAAATAAGGAGTAGATACAATAAATTCTAACACTTAAAACTAACGGACAAAAAGTGTCGGACAAAATGACACTGAACAAGAAGATCTCAATTTAAAAATTTTTTAAAATGCTTAAAAAGGATATAATTTTAAAAATCTTACCTTTTTATAAGCATTTTCATTATTTTTTTGAAAATTGGGATCTTTTTACCCAGGTTACTTTTTCCCAGGTCTTGTTCAGGGCATTTCCTTCCGTAATTCATGTTAACGATATGAACGAGTAAGAGAAAGATAAAAAAATAAATAATAATTTTGGAATTATAAATTGAAATACAAAATTCTAGTTTATTATTTATTAAATTTAGAAACCTTCTTATTCATTTAATCCTTTCTAAAAATTTGGTCTAGAGCCATTTCAAAAAATTGACCTTTTCCGTTATGAATTAATTTTAGATTCTTAAAATGATGTGTATTCTAAGATTAAAAGTTATTGGCATTATTATATTTTAAACACTTTTTATCATTAGTCTATATAATGATAATCGCTAAACTCAAGATATGATCGACTGAAAGAAATTTTTTGATCGGATGAAATATATTTAAAATTGAATAAATATCTGAAGTAAGGTTAGGGTTATTTAAAGGTATGAGAGATATGATTTAGTGTTTAGTTATAAAATTTAATCCTTTTTATTATAAAACATATCAAGCCTGACGGTCATGTGATTCTAAATAGACCAATTGAAATTTAAATAAATCTGCTGTGGTAATGGCAATTTCATTGAGTTTACCAGAGTGGCGTGGCCAGGATTTCCCATATGGAGGGGGGGGGGAAGAAGGGGTAAAAAATTTTTAAAAAAATTATTGTTTACAAGATTTTGGCTAAAGATTAAAAAGTGACTGAGCATTTATTCTGTACATTTTATCAATGTTTAGAGCTTAATTATATATTAATTTAATCGATTTGGTATACAATATAAAGAAAGAAAATTGCCAAAATAGATATCGTGCTAAAATGTAAAATATAAAAACTATATAACTGGCTTATGCTAATATTTAATACCTGACTAGTACTCAATTCCTCTCTCAAACATGAGAACCACAAAAAGAAATAGTTGTAAACAAAATGAAAACTGTCATGCTTTAAGCATGAAGTGAGCCAAGCTTTTGGAAACACTAATTGAAATATTAATTGAGCTTTATTAGTATATTTTATTGCTTTATTCTATCTAATAGTTGGTTTAAAGAGGAAAAGAATTATTGATAAAAATTAAAAAAATTTAAAATTTTCATTATGCCAGAACCCAGAATATAGAAGTTCTAACTATATGGTTTGCATTATTAATCTTATAATTCTTTAAATAATTTCGCCAGCCATTAAAAAAGTAACAGAATACCCCAAAACTAACTGTGATACCACCTCTTAAGCATAAAGTTAGCCAAACATCTGGACATTATCTCGAAAATTCATCTCATTAATTAGTACCTATTTCATACTTTTTAAGTGCTTCAATCGATTTGGTAGATAGATTAAAGGAAAATATTTTTGTCAAAATAAAAAAAATCGCCAAGTTTAGCTTTATGTAGTATGGAAAATTATAGGAGCAAAAAACAATATGTAATTCATTATTATTAGTACTCACTAGTTTATCGGTCTATCGGTAATACAATCTTAAATATCGAATTTTAAATTACAATTCAAAAATCAATTTCGTCTGAATACATTCAGGTTTCCTTTCCCCCGACTCAAGATATTATTGAATATTGTAATTCTATGGATGTTATTTTTTCTTTTCAGTTTGTTTAATAAATATAGAAGCAATTTAAATCTTAACCAGATAGATCGAAGATTCTATAAGCACAAAACAATAAAAAAATTAAATAAACGAAATAAAATAGGTTTTACTCTTAATTATCATTATAAATTATCCTCATCTTTTAAAATATGAGACTTGGTATGGTTGTAGCTTTGATACCTTTATATTTAATATCGGCATGCATATCTGTGCTTAATATTTGTTGAAACAGGAATAATTGTTTCTTCATAATGAAATTGACAAAGTAGTTTTTTCTAAAAAGGAATATGACAAATTAAACAAATTTTTTGCAAGATTATTTAAAATTTATTTAAAAAATATATAAATAATCAAAATTATTTATAAATTAAAAACATAAAAATAGGTGTTTTTTATATTTTAGGCATTTATATTATCAATTTGGTAAATTAAAATAAATTTTTTAATATTTTTTGAGTGGGGTTTGATCCCCTTAACCCCCCCCCCCCCATCCCCCATGTCTACGCCATTGAGTTGGACCATGATCTTATGTAACAACTATCGATTTTTCATTCCTCAAAAACAAAATAAAAAAAATTATATTTAAATGTCAATGGTGGTCGTTTGATAATTTACTAACTCACCTGTTTTATATCTGGTTGATCGCGCTATTTAATTAGTATATCACAAAGCGAGTTAAATAAATTTACATAGAAATCAATATAAATAACACTCATAAACTTTACTTTATTGGCTTTTTAAGATTACTAGCAAGTGAAGAGCTAGTTGAAAAATAAATGATACTATTTTAAAGGCATTCATAAAAACTTCCCGAATCTCAAACAGGGCAAGGTGGAATTTCTTTTTTGTATATCCTTCGCTGGACAAATTTTTTAAAAATGTAAATTTAAAATTATTAATATGTTGGAAGAATTACTTAGCAAATT